GACAATGTGACCAGCAGCTTCTGGATTTTCAACACGCATGCACCACATAGTGGCAGATCTTTGCAGGAAAGACAAGAATGGTGGGATCTTTCAGTTCAAATCCTGCAACAACATTGTGATCAAGATCCGTTGTACTGGCTTATGGATGCGAATGCACCACCGGGTCAGGCAGATGACACGATTGTTTTTGCACAAGGATACGCCACCACAGCCACAACTGCGTTTTTGCGGGCAGCACTTCAAGCGCAGCAACTCTGTCTGCCGGCTACCGCAGACTGCCATGTTGGATCGAGATCAACTTGGACAGCTATTGATGGGAAGACTGAACATTGCATTGATCACATTGCTATCCCGATGGAATGGAAAAGCAAATGTACATGGTCACAAGTCCTACATGAATTTGACTTGGCGCAAGCCCATGATGATCATGCAGTTGTTGTACTACAACTTCAGTGGGAGACGGTCGTCCAACTTCCCATCAAGCAGCACCAGGCACAGACTTCCCGAAGTGGTGAGCTCTGCAACTTTGATGACAAGGCTTTTCGCACACAGCTCAGGAGGTATGAACCTGCTGATTGGCAGACAGACGTTGAAGCACATGCAGACGGTCTGATCAACCATATCCAACAGGCCATGACAGCTCACATACCTCGAAGACAGAATGATGCCAAGAAGATCTATGTCACAGATGATGTCTGGCAACTACGACTGCAAAAGCTGCAATGCAGACAAAAGTGCAAAGCTGTACGCAGACAAATTGGACGTGAAAGCCTGCGTCAATGTTTCCGTGCATGGAAAGATCCACAGACACAAGAGGCGAACCTTGTGGCGGAGAATTACAACTACGGCACCACTTTGCGCTGCCATCAGATCAAGTGGTATTGTGAGTTTGTGACACTGAGAAAACAGATGAGAAAGGCGCTGCAGTCTTCCAAGCATGAATATTTGAAGAGGAACTTGATGAAGACTGATGAAAAGACAGCTGCCACTGATTTGCTCCGGATGCTGAAACCCTTCATTGGACCCACAAACTTGAAACAACAGAAGAAGAAACCGCTGCCAATGATCAAAGACGCAGACCAACAACCATGCGCTCTTCCCAATGAAGCACTGGCGGTATGGATCAGCTTCTTTCAGAACATGGAGGGTGGCACTAGGGTTACAGCAGACCAACTACGCCGAGACTGGATAGAAGACCTTTCTGCCCTACGCCAAGAGGATTTTGCGCTGGACATGCAGGAATTCCCGACTCTGGTTGACCTTGAAATTGCATTGAGAAGAGTTCCAAGTCGCAAGGCGAAGGGCCCAGATGACATTCCAGGAGAGATCTGCCATTTTCATGCAGACATTTTGGCAGTTCAGATGTGCACGCAAATGATGAAACTGGCCTTGCACGGCCAAGAGCCTTTGCTGTACAAAGGGGGCCGTTTAATCCCCGCTTACAAAGGAAAAGGAGACCCTTGCCAAGTGGCCTCTTTCCGTTCACTCCTGGTATCGTCGTACCTGGGCAAATCGATTCATCGCAGTCTCCGCCAACATCAAGCACAGGCGTACGAACACTTCCTACAGGCTCAACAACTCGGAGGTCGTCGAAAGGTCCCGGTGCAAATGGCTCTGCATCAAGCGAGGGCATTTCTTCGAAGAGCACGAGAAAGGCGCATATCAGTAGGACTTCTGTTCCTCGACCTGACAGAAGCTTTCTACAGAATCCTGAGGGAACTCACAATGGGTGGGCAACCAACGGATGAGCTATTAGCTTTTGTGCTTCATCGCCTTCAGCTTCCACCTGACGCGATACATCAACTGCATGGGTTGCTGGATGAAAGAACGGCTTTGCAGCAAGCCGGATTGAGCTTCACAGCACGCAATTGCATCCGTGCAATTCACCAGAACACGCATTTCTGGTTACAAGGCCAAGCCGACTTGGTGGCAACATATCTCGGCACTAGGCCGGGAGATTCTTTTGCAGATTTGATCTTCGGCTTCACATGGAGTGTCGTTCTTCGAAAACTGCAGGGGTACATGGAGGAGCATGGAATGGCGGTTCAGCTACCAGCTCGTCAGGACCCACCCTTTTTTGCAGATACAGGAGCACAACAAGACCACGGAGAAGCGAAGACATATCTCGGCCCCACTTGGATGGACGACCTTTGTCTATGCCTGCAAGGTGAATCCCCATCACAGCTGGAACGAAACCTGGGACCAGCGATTGGGTATTTACTGGACTTGTGCTATAGCCACCTCATGACGCCAAATCTCAGCAAAGGCAAAACGGAGCTCCTTTTGAGTTTCAGAGGTGTGGGTAGCCGCAAGCATACCATCCAACACTATGGCCCCAACGCGAGTGGGTACTATGATGTCCTTTGTGAACATCAAGCGCAACGCATCACCGTTGTCAAAGCATATCGACACTTAGGTGGTCAGTTGCATCACACCAGTGACCAAAATGGAGAAGTCAGGATCAAAATTGCCACAGCCCATCAAGCTTTTAACCAACACAGAAGGTTGCTCTACCACAATGATCAGGTGGAGCTTGCGAAAAAGGTGGAGATATTCAACACCCTGGTGGTTACAAAGATGTTGTATGGTGCGGACTCCTGGATTGCACAGGACTCACGCACGATGCGCAAGTTCGAGACGGCGGTGATCAAGCTGTACAAGCGTCTCTTGCGATGGAGACATGATGGACACCACACGTCACAGCAAGTCCTTGCAGCAGTACAACAACATGCCCCAGTGATCCTCCTGCGAAGAGCTCGACTCCGATACCTTGTTACTCTATTTCAATGTGGTGTACCCGACATCTGGCACCTGCTGGGTGAGGATACGCAATGGGTCAGACTCATTGAAGATGACATGAATTGGATGTGGCAGCAGCTCAGACATGCGTCAAGTTTGCGCGACCCTCGAGATCATCCTCAACAATGGTTTGAACTCATTGCGCATCATCCCCGATACTGGAAGAGACTTCTGAGTCGAGCGTGCCACCATGACATGTTGCAGAGACGCAAGGTGTACCATGTGACAGCACTACATGAGAGAGTTTTTCAACGCTTTCGTGAGGTGCAGATTGAGCAGAGACAGGATCCCACTGATATCTCCATCAGACGACCACATGCAGATCCAGAAGACGTCGTCTATGGTTGCATGGGTTGTCGTTTGAAATGCAAGAACAAGGCAGGGGAAGGAGCGCACATGTACAAGAAGCACAACCAGGTTTCTGTACTGAGATGCTACATTGACCAAACACAGTGTAGAGCCTGCCTACGTGAATTTCATACCTTCACCAAAATGAAAGCGCATCTTTATCATTCAGAGGCGTGCAGGGCGACTCTCCTTGCGGGCCCCAAATGTGATGAACTTGCACCTGGAGCAGGATCCAGAGCAGACAGATTGTTGGAGCAGCAGCATGACAGATGCCTGCCACCACTTCAAGCAGCTGGACCCATGAATCAACCCCAACGTGCAAGGGCATTCAATGACATCGATGAGTCCCTGCATATCTACATGGTGGATCTTCTGGTGGAGTATGGAGCCTCAGATCAGACCATCATGGATTTCGACAGGGCAATGAAGATTTGGATTCTGGACCACGCGATCTCGTGGACCCGGACGCAAAACACTTTGCGCTTCTTCAGGGATAATCTCACTAAGGAAGATGCGGACGCGCTCACCTTTGACATTGCGGAGGTTACGGAGGAGTTGAACTATCTCATGGACCACCGAACATGGGATTTCCTGAAGGAAGCGGCAAAAGATCGAGAAGAAAGCCATGACATTGCTTGGTGCCATCACGAATGCCAAGCTTGGCAAGAATGGTGGCTCCAGCTTTCGCAGATGCACATTCCGAGAGTTTTTGGTCGCCAGCGCATTATCCTGCATGCTTTTGCAGGTAGACGCAGACTGGGAGACATACAATACTACTTGGAAAAGGACCTACCACAAGAAGCACCGTACAGCCTGGTTGTTGTATCCCTCGATATTGTCATTGACAGACAATGGGGAGACGCAACCAGAGAAGACACACGCAAGCTGTGGCTCGCTGCCATTCGCGATTGCTTTGTGGTAGGCTTCATTGCCGGTCCACCATGCGAAACCTGGTCTCGAGTGCGAGGCGTCAATTCGCCTCCTGCAGATGATGCGATCAACCCTGCGGCGCTTGAGCAGCCTTCGCCTGGACATGGACTTCCTCGCATTCTTCGCACGCACCAAGACCTGTGGGGCCTTGACTCATTGGCTATCCGTGAACTTTTGCAGATCTTAACAGGCAATGACTTGTTAAGTTTTGCGCTTGAAGCCATCATTGAAATTGCCCTAGCAGGATCCGTAGGAGTTTTGGAACACCCAGCTGAACCCACTGACCTCCCAGAGGCCGCGGCCATTTGGAGGCTGCCTTTGATGAATGTTATTTGTCAATTGCCAGGTGTTGAAAGGGTTCGTTTTGCCCAGGGATTGCTAGGTGCCAAAACTGTTAAAGCCACTGAGCTTTTGTGCGTGAATTTGCCATCCATCATTGCCTCGCTGCATGCCAATAGGGTTCAACATGAACTGCCAAAGGGTCAATCAGTAGGCAAAGATGAGAAGGGCAACTGGAAGACGTCTTCTTTGAAAGAATACGCTCCAGCTATGTGCAAGGGGATTTCGGAAGCAATCCGACTAGTTTTTGACTCAACGGAGGTCGCTAGCGGAATTGCTGATGCGCCAGAACACCTTGTTGCCATTTGTCATGCCATGCAGACGTATGATTTTGGTTTGACTTTTGGCCCGGACTATGCCAGGCGCAGCTGAGATCCCTGAATTGTGAATTCAACTTTGCCGAGCCGCAGCGAGAATGCACCAAAGAGCTCCCAGCAAAAAAATACATTGATACACGCATATAACCAGATAAGGGTTCAGGAAAGCTCTATTTTCCTATTTTGCAGTATTCACATGTGTTCAGATGCGACGCTGAGATGCGACGCTGAGTTCGGAGTAAGTTGGAAACACGCTGAGCTCCCGAGGATGGGACGGTGCATCAAGGAATTTGTTGCTTGTTCGCACAGTGGCCAAGATATCAAATTTCTGGACACTGGCTTTGTTGTGTGGAGATTGGATCAGACTGACAGGTTGGCAGTGCCAAGCGAACATCTATATAGTTGTGACATGTTGTGACATGTTGTGACATGTTGTGACATGTTGTGACATGTTGTGACATTGTGTTGATCTTTCCAAGTCTCGTTTGCAGGGGGCCGACTCGTTTGTTTCAAAGATGCATTGGCTGCTAAGTTACTAAGGCAATTCCCGGACACTGGCCAAACTGGATCAACGTAAACTGGGAAACCAGCGTGGCTTGCACTGGTGCAGATGATAGCAAGGCAGGAGCACTTTCCCGCCCACCACCTTTGTCGTTGGGAGAAATTGGGAATGCCAGCCAGCAAAGTATGAAATTATGATGCAAACTGTTTGGGTTGCCGTAGTTGTAGCCATATATGAGTAATTTGGTCCCTACGAAAATCGCATCCCTACATCTTTCCGTCCTCGAAACTTGCCATCATACTCACCATCGAAAGAAGTTTCAGCCATCCGAAATCCACCCAGGAGACCTGGTTGTCCCTTTGCAGAACTCTGACACATGTGACACTTTGAGAATCCATCAACTCAACACTCAATCTGATCTTTTTGTAGTTCCCCAAAGTATCTCACAAAAAAATCTGACATATTAATGTCAGTGACATATTATGACATATTATGACATATTATGACATATTATGACATATTATGACATATTATGACCATGTTTCAACACTGCCAGCATTGTCAAGCTGTGGAGGTGAAGCTCTGGGACCTGGAAACCGGTGAGGTGTCCCAGACCCTCGACTGCTGCTTGGCTGTGGATGGTTTGGACGATTCACGATGATTCAGTGTCAGTTTGGGCAATGAAGACCTTCAAAGCTTTCCCATTCTTGAACAAAAAGGAAGAAATTCTGTGAATCGAAGATCATGAAAAGATCTTGAAGTGATTTTCAGTGATTCATCTCATCAGCCCTGTCCATCCTGGCCAAAATTGGATTGTTGGGCCAGGTCAACATCACTTGACACAATGCCTGGACGTGGATTGGGACAATGACTTGGTCCTGACTGGTTCCTTCGAGTCTTGGTACGTGCAGATTTGGGCCCCAAAAGTCTCACTGGCTCGTTGATGGAAAAGGGGGACCAACCTTTTTTTCATCACTAATTAGTCACTATAGTCTAATTAATGGTATCTACTAGATCTACCAGGTAGATCATATTTTTTTCCACAAGGACAGCATCAAGAATATCTGCAGGGCAAACGATATTGACGCGCGATATGCTTCAAGCTTGCACGGAAGCGCCATATATGGGCATGCCCTTGAAATGTTGAAACCCTCACATGCCACAAACCATTGATTTGTTTCAGAGAAGCCCAACTTCAAACACACACATCCAGAAATATACTCATGTTCTGTCTATCTATCTATCTGTCTGTCTATCTATAGACATGTATATTTATATATATATATACCTATGTCTGTAGACACAGCTATGTCATGTATGATCATGTTTATATGTAACATATGTACTGTAATATATATATATGGAACCGACCGCCGAGGATTTTCAGATAAAGCTCTGGGACATGAAGTCCACCTCCCTGGTGCAGCAGTTCGTCCAACAGAACCGCTGTTTGACCCGCGTCTGTTTGCACTGAAGATTCCCCAGGAGATTCCCAGATTCCCACAACACTGGGTTGCTGGGTTCAACGGCTGACCTTTTGCCACAAGAAATGGGTTCCGAAGTTTCCGAAAAGAGGTGGATTTTGTTGAGTCATGAATCATGATCAGCAACGGCAGGAGTCCATCGAGAAAGAGAACAGACATGTCCAGCGGGCCGCTACGCGGCTTTGTGGCTGATCATCATGACGCCGCAAGGTCAGTGGACCTGAGTGAATTAGTTGCGGAATTTTCAAATGCATGTTGCATGCTGTTCTCAGATGTATAAACCAAAATAGCTTGAGGATTTTGACGAGGTTGAGGAAACATGCTTGACATATTAGGTTTTCTGTCAAAAGACGATCGACGAATACCTGGCAAATCACAAGATTTGCTTGGAATTGACAATGACTGTGGTTACTGAATTAAGAAATGCACGACTTCATGACAGCCCTTTGGCCGCAATGGATCATTTCCTACCTGCTTGCATGGTGCACCATCGTGCGCTGGAATGTTACACCTAAACACCTCACAGTGCTTGAAGACTTTTCAACTTCCACCGGATCAGTTTCCAGACCCGGATCGGTCTTGTTTGTTTTTTTGCGGCCATGCACGAAATTCGCCACTGGCCTGTTTTTTGCCTTACTTCAGAAGGGATGCGATTATTGATGGGTGCCTACAGGTCACTCTAAGCATCTCTTCCTGGCAAGCTTTGGTGGGCAAAGGCAATTACTGCTTTCAGCCGCCCTTGATTTTTTGGTATAGAATTGGATCAGAGGCATTCGAGGGACCTCATGGGTAGAGTAGAGTTTACATCACACACACACACACAAAGTATCCGGTTTCCAAACGAAAGGTTCCGGAATTCTTTGGAAGCTGTCACGGCCTGATACTCATACTTCATGACTGGTCTCTTGCTGGATCCCGCTGATAAAGTCACTTGGATCCTTATCGGCAACTCGCAAAGTGAGACAGCTGATTTGTACCGCAGAACAGTAGCTGTGGATCCTTATCGGCAACTCGCAAAGTGAGACAGCTGATTTGTACCGCAGAACAGTAGCTGTGGTGGTGATGATGAACATTGCAATGGAAAAATCTATCAGAGATATGCCATCTATGATGATCTGTGCTTGATTCCAATGGTCAGATGCCGAGGACTGCGAGGAATCCAGAAGATTTAGATTTGGAATTTAGATCAATGATATCAATGTTCATCATCCTTCATCTCAAAGACAGGGAACTCCTGGCAGTTCAAAGGGGAAGCGTGATATGCTCATCAGGGGACCATGGCGCAAGGGGTGACTGGCGGTGACCGGTGAATCACGGTCCAGGTCCTGCGCTCTGTTTGAAATCGACCCCAAGGTGCACAGCCGGTGGGGATGATGTGCCACCTTCGAGCAGATGACAACTGCGGACTACAGCCTCAATGCTGTCACATGCATGCACCTGTTTAGTCCTTGTTTGTTTTTTGGTTGCACTAATTCATGATATCATTAAATATTTATAAATCATTATTCATCATTATGATTAATTATTGATCAATTATAAGTTGGTTTACCAGTTAAGTTTGCCACTTAAACAGTGAAACCATGTAAAACATTGTAAAACACCCATAGTTGGCCCAACTCCCTGGTGGTCCTATGTCCTAAGTTGTCATCATCGCAGGCCACTGCTTTAAGATTGCGGCCAGCAGCAGAGCGCTTTCGGCTTGGCCCAATGACCTCAGTGTGGTGGTCTGGTGGGGTTGTCAGTTTGGGTTAGGGTAGTGTTTTTTTTTTGTGAATATGTATTCTAAATGGGGCAGTTTGAAGCTTTTTTGGTAATTACGTGAACATCCAGTGACACCAGTGATCTGGTAGTTGCAAACAAAGTCCTCTGAAGTTGACCGGGACCTGCTGATATTGTCTCTTCGCAGCTCCGGTCCCAGGCTTGGAGCAACTTTTTCGTCAGCCACCAGCGGCACTGCACGGGAGGCTGTCGGAAAGAGGTGCAGATGGGATGGCGAGAGTCTGAACAACACCTTCCCCAGACCGGGTTGGATCCAAAATATTCCGAGCTGGCTGGTCCATCACGGTCTGGCCCTTTTTTCAGACCTACAGGGATCTTCAGGAACATTCCATGGAAGAGTTAGGGAATCTTTGAGCCAGTGTTTCGTGGATGGTTGGGAATAGGTCGGCGTTTGATCGTCCCAGAATGCAGGCACAGTCTCCCTATCTTGGTTGCTGCGCACCTTTGTTGGAACCTTGTATCCTTTTCATGGCAAGGTGCAAGCAGAATCATCTTTTGAAGGTAACCGTGAATCAATGTAAGAATCAATGTAAATCATTGTAAATCAATGTATCAATCGAATATCTCGTTAAATCATGGAGGATATTGTATGATGCACATTGATGCACGATATTCCAGGACATCGATGAAAGGATGACCGGGATTGACCGGGCCAAGGCGCACCAGCTGTTGGGCAACCTGCGGTTCTCGCCGCAGCAAGCGTCTGGAGCTTGGGACGCAGCCGGAGATTGCCGGAGCATCAGATCTGTGCTGAAAAGGTAGGCGAACGTAGGTCTGCATCATGCAGTTATGATGCAGTTATGCAGATTGATCATTATTTATCGGTATCATAAATCATAAATCTTCGTAAATATTCATAAATATTCATAAATAGTATCTCTCTCTCTCTCTTTCTCGCAATATGCATATAAGTAAGTATACATTTACACACACACACGCATATTTACATATGTCGTGTGTACATGCACACATATGACTGATGTCAGGTTGGAAGCTTTGAGCCCATCGCAGGACTGCCGTGCGTCAAGACTTTCTTTGGTGATCTCCTTCCGTTCCCTGAGTTCACTTTGGAAAAGCACCTTTTCCTCTGGTCAGGAGCTCATCTTGAATCCAAAAACCTTGGCAGTGCCTGGCACTCACAAAGCGACAGGTCTGTATGAATGTTATGGAATCTGTTTGAGAAATGAGAACAGCTCATTTCCCGTGGGATTTACGATTCGATTTCGTCAGTGATATTGAGCCTCAAGCGGATATGATTCCTGCAAAGCACGCACACCAGTGCTACGCAGTTTTTCTAAGCAATGGACCAGCGCGCAGAGAAGCCAACTGCATTTTCACCACCGGAAAGGCTCCTTGTGGAGGTGAAGGCCAACTTTTTGTGATCCTCAGTAGTCAGCCTGATTTTGTGCAGGGCAGATGCTGCTCTCCGAAGGATTACGATCAATTGCTGGATTGGACAAGACAGTACCTCCAATGATTTGATCCTCAGGAGATAGCTTGTTTGCTAGATTTTCAGGGGGACATGCCAGGATTCAGTGGTGATCTACTTATATCTACTTGCCCACTGCCGTGCTCAAGCCGAAAAACCAGAAAAATGTTGATGCAGATACTGTTCACATCTGTTCACATTGGTTTCCTTATTGACCTGGGTTGTCGAGAAAACATCGGCCTGATCAAATCTGTGCTTGAACAAGACTCGCGCTTAAAGCTTTGCTGGGATTTTCAAGAGGTCTTGCAAGGCTTGATCTATCAAGCACATCCCAGTGAATTTAATGCTTGCTTAAAGAATGTGATCGATGTTCAAAAACCATTTTCCCGAACCGAGAATCATTTGGCATCACTTTCTTCAAAGATGAAAGAGGTAGCTTCTGTCCAAAAAGATCCTACTTGTCGCGCAGAACTGGCTGCGCCCAAGATGGACCCGCCAGACTGGGACAAATACCACGCATGCAGTGAACGTGCATTTCGAAGGCCGTTTTCCCGGCATTTCCTGGAGTATGGTGCTTCTAATGTCCTTGCTATCGAGGCCATCATTTTCCCTCTGCGGGCTACTTGCAGTTTTGATGAAACAAGTGGAGAATGACAAGTACGACATTGAAACCTTGGTGTCATTGAGAAAAGAAGTTCTGATGCAATGCCCTGAGTCTAGGAACCAGGCCAGAGCAGCGTAAAGTATTTTCGCCACTGGGCTAAAATCCGTCACTTCGAGGCAATGAGACAGTCGAGAATGGAATAGAATGGACAACGGATCCGAAGAACATGAGACAATTATCGTCATGTTACAGGAGTGGTCGACCAGGCTCAGGAAACTCCAAGTGGATCCACTCCTGATTCAATGCCCTTCCAGGGAGATCAGCTTGATGAACTTCTCTGCAAGAAAGTTCCTAGAACGCTTTGTGTAAAGGCATGCTCAATAATTTGATTGCTGTGGGTCATTTTAGGTTCAAACCAGACATAGTGAATGAACTGTAGAAAGTGTAGGCAGGCCGAAGCTTACGAAGAGGACAGCTGGTGCTTGGGGTGTTCTGGACTTGAGACCCTTCAAACAGAACTTGGAGCAGCTTGGAAACTTGCTGGTTTCAGAGCTGCTGCTCACGACTCAATTGTGAGTTGTGTGCGCCAGGTTCGAGCGCTGCGTTCACTCGCGAGCAGCTCATACAGCGCTGACCGTAGTCGTGCAGCTGTGGAGAGCGTGCAGTCGAAGGGTCTAGCGGCGCCGCCCAGTCCACCCAAAGCACCTGCAAGGAGTCGGAGTTCTTTGCCTGCACCACCACCTCCTCCCAGTGTGAAAAGGCAAGAGGAGAGTGAGGAGAGTGAGGATTTAGAAGAAGAATCAGAAGAGGAAGAGATTGGAGAGAAAGTTACCGGGGCTTGCCCCAAAAGTGACCCATCTCGAAAGCCTCCTGAGCCCGAGGTTCCTCCACGAGAACCGCAGGACGATCGAGAACCATTACGCAGAAGCAGCCATCATCATCGACATCGTGAAGAAGAACGCCGAGAGGCAGATTGGGACAAGCCGAAAGAAAAGAAGTCAGGTAAGAAACACAAGCGAAAAAGAGAAGATCGGAAGAGAGGAAATCGTGGAGGTTCTAAGCATCCACGTTTATACAGGACATTAGACGATCCTAACATCCGTGTTCATCGTCGTCCTCCAGGCAGTTTTTGGGATAGTGAGAGATCCCTTGCTGGCCCTGGGCCGCGCAGTTCTCATCGCTGAGTATGGTAGAGGAAGAAGGTCTTGAATACCAGCTTGAAAAGTCAGAGGAATGGGATGCCTTGGTGTTGAACAGAGGAGATGTCATAGAAGTACATCTACCCAGTACCAATCTAGCTTGCACAGCAGATGTGTGGGCTGGCTTCTGGGTAAAGCAAGTCCTCATTTTGGGGACGGGCGAATATGCAGCCATAGTCAAAAGCCTGGGCTGCAGCGATCCAGACTGGAGCAAGTATCTGTCTGGAGTCTTCAATCGCCGAAAAGGAGCAATACATTTGTGTCAGTCAAGACCCTGCGCTGTCACCGAGGAGTTTGCTCTTCATGTGACGAAGCTGCGAGTCTTTACTGTGGCCGGATTTGCTCGCCCCTACATGACTCACTATACCAAGAGGCAGATTCAAAAATGGGAGGCAGACGGACCCGAGGAGGTGGACGACACGGCTTTAGACGTTTCTGCTTACCCTCGAGAAGAGAGTGCAGAGATGTTTGGAGACGACACGACGCCAGAGGAGCCGCGCAAAAGCGCGCTGAGAGCCACGGGAAAAGCTGCCCCGAAGCCCACAGGAGGAGAAGAGGAAGTGAAGAAGAAAGAGAAGAAGGAGAAAATTGGAGAAGAAGAGCGGCTAAGGCTTCGAGAAAGATTAGAGGCGGCTCGACAAAAGATGTTGGATTCAAATTCGCGGAATGGCGCTGGCCCGGAGGCCGTGCTGCCACCCGCTACCAGGGAGGTATCGGTTGCCTCTTCAAGCAGCGGTTATTCAGCCTCACTGGCCGAAGAGAACCAAGAAGGTTTGGAGGTGCCAGCGATAGCCGATGCTGGAGAGGAACAGAAGAAGAAAGTGAAAGAGTCCAGGAGAGCTCAAGCAGAGACCGAGAGGAGGAGAGAGAGAAAGGAAAGGGAGAAGTCTACCTTAGAGGTAGCAGTGAAGAAGTCGAAGTCGAGGACCATGGCGGAGGACACAAAAGATATCACTACGCACTCCTGGCAAGACCAACTGCTCAGGAAAGCCGCACAGACAGCCGCTGCCAAGCAAGACAAGATCAAAGCCGAGAAGATCCGACAACGAAAGAAAGACCCTGGGTATCAGCTAGCGCAGATCCTTACCAAGATCACTCAGGGTGGAACGGATCGATCGAGGAAGAGGCAGAGACCTTCGAATGGGGGCTCAGAGGAGGAAGAGGATCTGAGTCGTCAGAAGAAGAAGAAGAAAAAGAAAAAGAAGAAAGGCCACCGAAGCGGGCCCGGGGGCTCAAGCTCACCAGGCAGCAGTTCACAGATAGGGAGCTCCGACAGCAACTCCATGAGAGACTTGGAAAGGGACGAGAGTTCCAGCAGCGAAGGCAAGAAGTTGGAGGCCCCTTTGAAGAGGAAATCCAAGAACCGCCCAGGTTCAGTGCTAGCCATGCTTCTGGAACACGCCAGATCCAAGTTGGATCAGTCAGCAAAGGTATCGGTGGAGACGGCTGCAACTTCATCGATGACGAAAGGCATCAAACTGAGCAGCTACTTCTCCATCATTGTCCGACCGCAGGTGGGCTCTTCGATGGCGCAGGCGAGGGAGCTCCACCACCTGTCGCAGGCGATAGATCTTCTACGACAAGGAGATCTGGACGTGTTAGGCGATGTACTCGCCTCCAGGTTCATCTCGATACATCAGGCGGTCATAGACGGCTCATGGGCCACCGCAAGGCATCTCGAGATGCTTCCCTTGGAGGAAGGAAGCGCAGCTGGACCGGAGGTGATTCTCAACGCCAGGCGTCAAGCCCGTCTTGCGGCCAAGTTGGCGCCGGGCGATGCTTGGAGTTGGTCCAGCACTCCACGCAGCAAAGGCGGCAGAGGAAAAGGATCGCAATGGCAAGATGGAGGACAGGAAGGAAAAGGAAAGGGCAAGAAAGGTGGCAAAGGAAAGATGAAAGGAAAAGGATGGCAGAATCAGGAGAAGGAGACCGATGGCAAAACACGGGAAAAGATTCCCGAGAAGTAGGAATGCAATCGGGCCCGAGCATGGCGCTGGCTCAGGCCGCTGCTGCCGTGGATCCGGGGGATGGAAGTACAGTGGGGTGGAGCCTGGCCGATTTGAAGTCAGCCATCAAGCGGTGCAACTCATTCAAATGCATGGGTGTGGTATTGGCTTGGTGGCTTATCGCTGGCCGCTCCGTTCCTTTCCTGGATCAGGTAGTTGCAGAATTCACAAGACCGTGGATCGTTTTGGTTGCCAAGCACAAGTCAGCCCACTCGCGAAGACGGGGTGTGACTTTTCCACTCAGAAGAGGAGAGCTGCATGAGCTGGTTGAGGTCTTCGCTGCTAGTTCTCTGGCCTCGCTGGCCGTTGAGACAAGCGCGAACCTGTGGGGAAGTAAGGCATGGGCCTATTTGACCATGGGTGCATTGAATCATTTGGCTGGATTTAGTGCTAGGCTGGAACCTGGCCGTTGGACAGCACCAGAGCTTTCTGTGTTTAGCTCAGTGTTGCTGGCGTCTGAAAGGCGTTGCGCCTCAGATGTGGCATACTTCACCTGTGAGGAAGATGCATGGCAAAAAGAGATTAGCAGCAAGAAAGTGGGATATAATGGTGAAGAGCTCACTACTTGTCATCAACTCACATGGGAACAAGTACTGCCGGCACTACCTCCTGAAGAACACGGTGGTTGTATTAACTGTTTGGATTGGGTAGGACCACGAACTAAGGAATTTCTAACTGACCCTTCAAAGTTGCTGAAGCACGAAGATGACGTAACTTTGCCAAAAATGCCGGGAAGAATCCACATTCGAGAGAGCGACAAGATGCGCATTGCAGCAGAATTGGTCAGACGAAATGTTTGTTGTTGGATTCCATTGGACAGGGTTTATTCTGTCAAGGGTGTTAGAATTTTGAATGGAATGTTCGGAGTAGCTAAACCCTCTCAACTTGG